TTCTGGCAGTCCCAGACTCCTGCTTATCCTACTGCAATTCCCTCACACCCCAGCCCGTGTTCATGCTCTCCTTTAAGCCTTGGGTGCCCTCCCTACATCCCATGTCCCTCTCCTCTCAAGTTCTGCCCCTGGCCAGGGGCTAAGTATTGATCAAGTCTCCTCTCTACAAAGTTAGACACTCCTTTCTCAAAGCTCTCATTACTCCTGCTTGTTTTAGAATTCTTTCTTTACTCACCTGTCCCTACAAGACTGTGGATGTTCTAAGAGTGGGGGTCTCCTCTGATTCATTTTTTCTCTCTTGTCTCGTGTCTAGCACAGAATCTGAGAATAAGTTTTCCATAAATGTTTGCTAAAGAAGAAATGGGTGTCGGACAGACCAACATACGAATAAATGATTTCCCCAGCCTTCCATCAGGTGTTGCTAAGATGTGTCAGTGATCAAAGACAATTGACCACACCCATATCATGGCCCTCAGATTGTGCTGGTAGCCTATTGTTTTCTGTTCCTCTTAGTAATTCCCGAACAGCAGCCTAATACATTCCCAGATTTCCCTCTATCTGAAAAGGTATCATCACGTGGCATGCTCGTGGCCCACCTAACCCCTTTAAAATTTGCAAGTATATACGCACCCACACCGGACTTCTACCCATCTCCCACATATTGAGAAACAACACCTAAAATCTTTAAAAAATACAAAATTTTATATTAAAAGCGGCTGTGGGGGCAGAAATTCTTAAGTCTCAGCATTTAGTAGCGTCTCATGTTTCAGTATTTGATGAATCAATGGAGTTCCTTTGATTTCGAAGGCCTTGTCCAACGCTCGGGAGGGAGCTTAATGTTAGAAGAGGAAACCGAACGGAATAGGAGACCCACTACGCCCCCAGCGACGCTCGGCCCACGGCTCCCTTAAGGCGTGTGAGGGGGTGGGCGGAGTCCTGCCTTCAACCCCGCCCAGAGCCGAGGAGACCTACGACCAATGAGAGGGGCGGTCCGAGGCGGAGCGACCTGCGTGCGGCGTGACGCAACCGCGTCCGACCGGCTCTCCGCGGGTCGCGCGCTGGGACTTGAGGGTGTGGAGGTGAGTGCGGGCCACGCACCGCAGCTGCAGGGGTGGGATCGGGGTCCCGGGCGCTCCCGGGTGAAAGTCCTGGGGACTGTCCACCGGAGCGGAGGGGTCACCCGCCCCCAGCCTTCCCCGGGCCGAGTGGGCTGTGCTCAGTATGACCTGACTGATGCGGACGCAGCCCTGAGTCCAGGTCTCCGTCACCGCCAGGGCACCCCCGCCGCTCCACCGAGGCCCTGCGCGCCGCGAGGAGCGCGGGGTGGAAAGAAATGAGGGACAGCAGTAAAGGCCAGCGTTTGTGCGCGTTGGGCTCCTCAGAGCGCTCCTGTGAATAGGCCCTGTTGTTTTTCCCATTTTGCAAAGGTGGGAACTGCGGCTTAGAGGAGTTAAACTTGCAGCGTTGTAAACTGTACAGATGGAGGTTGGGTAATTAAGGAAATAGGGAATCGTGTGAGCATCTCTAAAGTGGCGATCCCAGAAGGCCAACAAAAGCCGTTTTTGAATTTGAGCAGTTCTAGTGACAAAATGCATTTAGTGAGTCATAACCTCCCCCAAACATTCAGCGTTGAATTTTGTTTTCCAGGTGACCAGAGCCACCTGAAATGTCGATAGTTCGTTCGTCTGTCCATGCCAAATGGATCGTGGGGAAAGTGATTGGGACAGCAATGCAAAAAACCGCTAAAGTGAGAGTGACCAGGCTGGTTCTGGATCCCTATTTATTAAAGGTGAGAAACAGCCCTGCTTTCAGTTGGCATTGATAAATCACCCACACATCCTGGGTTCCGAGCAGAAAAACACTTCTATCAGTAAAAACACATGGAGCACCTGCTGCATGCCAGGTACTGGGCTGGTTTAACAAAGTGAATTATTCGTGGTGTGTACTCACATTCTGAGGACACGGAGAGCTCATTTCAGTTCAGTCTGGTAAGCACAGTAGTCTCTGTGTGTAATGGACTGTGGGAGCAGGAAGCAGGACAACTTCTTCATTCTCGGGTTGCTGAAGGAGCGCATCCTCGATTTAGAGACATTTGAGCTGAATCTCAAAAAGGATTTTATCCAGAGGACCAGGTTGGGGGAAGTCATTCTGGCCACGATGAGTAGTAGTTTGTGGAAGTTCTTTTAGCCCTGAGAGGGTAGGACATTCTACAGGAACAGTGGGTATTTGGGCAAGGGTGAGCCCAGAGCTTGGCACTAAGTAGGCACTATTGAATGGGTACAAGAACAACCAGAGCTGGACCGTGAAGAGGCTTTTATGTTGTATTTTGGATTTCATCCTAAAAGCAAAGGAGAGACAGACTTGGAGATGGGTAGGTATGAGGATTGGAGGTCAGGATATGGGTAAGGAGGCTATTGAGAAAGTCCAGGATGGAAACGATAAGGACCTGAACAGTCAGTCCTTGGAGCAATGGGGAACAGTTGATTTCAGAAAGGACAGAGCCCTTGCTTTGCGAGATGTGTAAGGAAGGGAGTGGGAAATGTCAAGGATGTTCTGCATTCGAGATGGTAGAAATGCCAGCTGTTATCTGGGATCAAACACAGGAGTGAGCTGAAAAGTGATGGCATGATCACTGACCTTAAACTCAGAAGACTTTAGTTTGAATACTGACCTGTCGTTTACTAGCTGTGCACATTACTTGGCCTCCCTGAGCCTGTTTTTCTCATCTGTAGGTGGCAGTACCTGCTGTGGACGGGCTGCCTGGAGGAATAGATGATTCTAGTTATCCATGGTTTGTTTGCAATACGTTGGGCTAGACATGGAGCTAAGTGCTTTATGTATATTACTAGAGGCCCGGTGCACGAAAATTCGTGCAAGAACAGGCCTTCCTTCCTCCAGCTGCCGGCGCTGGCACCCGGGACCCGGGCTGCTTCCCTCCTGCCGCCCACAGGCACCCAGGACCCGGGCTGGCTTCCCTCCAGCTCTGGCTTCATCAGGAAGGAAGTCTGGAAGACATCTGGTCTAATTAGCATATTACCCTTTTATTATTATAGAAGATGCTTAATTCTCTTGGTATCTTTAGAGGTGCAAATATTAAAGCCTCATTTTATGGTGGAAAAAGCCAAGCTTGGGGTTAGGTGATTTGTCCTGAATTACACAGCTAGTGGTGGCAGTAGCATGTTTATGGACTGGAGAGAAGGTGCCACTGGAGAAAAGAATTTAAGTAGTGTCAAGAAGGATGGTAATCGATAGAGCAAGAATACTGAAGAGAATACACTGGAGAGCTGGGGGACAGGATCATCTCTGGAAAAGTCATTGCTGTTTTCCAGAAGTTAAGCAGCTAATTTTTGTATTGGAAACTGCCTTAAATATGTTATCTTCACCCCCCCTACCCCCTAAGTCCCAGCTTATTTTCTGTGCATTGCTTTTTCATATTCTGTACTGCACTTCCAGATCACAGATGGGAACTGCTCATTTGTTCTTCTCTCAACAGTATTTTAATAAACGAAAAACCTACTTTGCTCACGATGCTCTTCAGCAGTGCACAGTTGGGGACATTGTGCTTCTCAAAGCTTTACCTGTTCCACGAACGAAACATGTGAAACATGAGCTGGCTGAGATCGTTTTCAAAGTTGGACAAGTCATAGATCCAGTGTCCGGAAAACCTTGTGCAGGAACTGCCTACCTGGAGAGTCCAATCAGTTTGGAAACCACCCATCTAACCAAAACTCCGGAAGAACACAGTACCTCTTCAGAACAGTGAAGGAGGATTAGAAAAACCAGCCAGAGGGAACGGCTTATAAGTTTGCTTTATGGAAAAGAAATTTTTCTAAGTTTCATCACAAACTGATCAGTTTTTCTTCTGGTATTTATGAAATAGCTAAAAGTAAATGAATAAAGCGTTTGTTATAATTTTCCAAAAAGGTTTATGGTCATGTTTCAAATTTCCTTTTCAGTGAACATGCTTTCCTGTTACACTAAATGTGCCTAGCAATCTGCTGTATTATTTTTTAAGCTCACTGTTTTAGATGTGTGTGTGTTTGTTTGTTTTTTTTTCATTCAAAGGAATCTTGAATTTATTTTAAAAGCTTTATTTGGAAAGGAGAAATCTTTTTGATACCATAAACAGGTAAGATCACATTAAGCGAATGTTTTTGATGGTGTATATTCAAAATTAATTTTTTCCTCTGATTTAACCAATTCCAAACAGAAATAATCAACATGTTTGGGGCCCTAGCTGGTTTGGCTCAGTGGATAGAGTGTCGGCTTGTGGACTAAAGGGTCTCGGGTTCAATTCTGGTCAAGGGCATATGCCCAGGTTGTGGGCTTGACTCCCAGTCAGGGGTGTGCAGGAGGCAGCCAATTGATGATTCTCTCTCATCATTGATGTTTCTATCTCTCTCTACCTCTTCCTTCCTCTCTGAAATCAATAAAAATATATTTTTAAAAAAAAAAAGAAAATCAGTTAAATAAAATGGATATTGATGGATTTAAAACAAAGATTTAAAAAATAAAAAATAAGAGTAAACATGCTTGGGGTCAGACTATCTCAGATTAAAATCCATATTAATAAGCATGTTGATATGTAGAAAATAAAACCTAAAAGTTCTGTGTTACTTTTTTTTTTTTTTTGATAAAACTGCACAAAAAAGGAGGCATCTTTATTGCAATAAGTTAATCCAGTGGATAGGTCTGAGAAAGCACAAATCAGTTGGTCAGGGCAATAAGGGCCTCTACCACGTTGCCCATGTGTTCCCTCAAGCTCCGCTCTGTGGCTGCTCTGGAGATCTCCATCTCTGTCATTATCAGCTCCAGATCTTACTTCTTGATGGTGACTTTTGCCAGTTCCTTCTCCCGCTCTTGTTTGGCTTTCTGCTCCCGGGAACGTCTGTCTCCAGGTTGGAGCTCTGGATCTCCTTCTCCTCCGCATAGTTGGTCACTCTCTCCAGGTCCGCCGCACCACTGTCATGCTTCCGTGGCTTCTCGGGGGGCCGCTCCCAGCCGCTGGTCTCGGTCTCCAACTCCAGCTCCACATCCCCCTCTGTGGCCGCCGCAGACCCTGTGTTACTTTTTTTTAGTATTGTATCCTAGGTGCATTAAATAGGAAGGAGTTCTTAAAACCTGATACATTGATGAAGTTGTAGTACTTCTCACACGTGCATTTGAATTGGAAAGTTTCAGTTTTGTTGCTGTCCATTAATTATGATCCTTTAAATTTTGACCTGAAAAACAGAGCTGAGTTCAGTTTTCTGGCTCCTAGGCAGAGATTTGGATCATATTTCAACCTCAACTAATAGGTGTATTATACAAGCACAGGGTTTCAACAGTGACCACAGGCACTGCCCCTCCCCGACACCTCCCCCACACCCCGCCCAGGACTCTTCATGGCACACAAGCACATTGGTGGGAAGAAATTAGAGTAATTTCCCAAGAGATGAGATGGTGCTCGAACTGAATGTTAAAGGAAGAGTCTCCAGGCCAGTAGATGAGGGGTGTGGAAAGGGCATTTAAGGCAGAGGGAACAGTATCAAGTCCTCAACGTATGAGAGACTTGAGCCATAACCAGAGGATTGCTGGAACATTTTGAACAAGGGTGGAAATCAGATAGATAAATAGGCAGTAATTATCCTCTAACTGGTGCTAGGTTATTTAACATTTGTAAAAAGAGTGATATAACTAGATTCACGTTTCAATACAAGAAATAACATCAGTGTAGAGAATAAACTGGGAGGGAAAAGATCAGAGGTAGGAAGACTGGCCTGTTCAAAGACTGGTCCTAAGACGTAAACAGTTGGGCAGGGAAGATGAAAAGAGGTTGGTAGATGATGTTGCAAAGCAGAACTCTCAGGGCTTGGTACCAGGGAGGATAAGTAAAAGGGAAACATTTAATGCTGTCTAGGTCTCTGGCAGGGGGGGCTGTGAGGTAGCAGCTATCCTGGAAGGGACAGGACACCTGTCTAAGCCATCACTAAAGCTCAAATATTTTTAAATGTTTACATATACTCTATCATTTTTATCTTTTAAGATAATTTTTTAAAATATATTTTATTGATTTTTTACAGAGAGGAAGGGAGAGGGATAGTTAGAAACATCGATGAGAGAGAAACATCGATCAGCTGCCTCCTGCACGCCCCCTACTGGGGATGTGCCCGCAACCAAGGTACATGCCCTTGACCGGAATCGAACCTGGGACCCTCCAGTCCGCAGGCCGACGCTCTATCCACTGAGCCAAACCGGTTAGGGCTTAAGATAATTTTTTAAATCGTGGTGTAAAAGGTATGCTTTAGGAATATGACCCATATTTAGTCTATGGTGTTGAATAACCTGTCACACACCTGTGAAATAAGAGTCCTCCCCCAGGAAAAAGCATTGGGTTAATGGAACTACGAAATGGAGCCCTAGCTGGTTGGGCTGAATGGATAGAGCGTCTGCCTTCAAACTGAAGGCTCCCAGTTCAATTCCGGTCTAGGGCACATACCTCGGTTGCAGTCTTAATCCCTGGCCCTCGTCAGGGTGCCTGCAGAAAGCAACCAATTGATGTGTCTCATATCAAGGTTTCTCTCCCCCTCTCTAAAAATCAATGGAAAAATATGCTGGGGTGAGGATTAACAAAAGAAAAAAAATGATTGGAGAAAAATGCAGAATGAGTGGCTTAACGCTAAATAACACAAAAGCAAGATCAGCAAAGAAATTTCTACCAAGTTTACAATTCAGGAAAATAGATTTGAAAGCATTTGTCTCCTGGAATGGAGCTGAGAATTGGGGGCACGGGTGAGAAAGTTACCAGAGCATATTAATATTACTACCTTGAGGAGGCCCTGTCTTCTGCTGTGCAGGACTAGGACCTGTCCTTTCTGCCCTGGGGATAGTTCACTTCAGCCTCTCCTGTGGATCTGGTCAGCCTCTGTAGCCTCACTGAGCACACCCAGTTGGGATCAGGAACTCTCAGCCACACAACCTCTATCCAGCCTCCTGCCCCTGAGTCCCTTGGCCTTTACACTGGCCTTTAAGTGACAGATGCATCTCCCTGGTCTGGGCAAATCCTTGTTGCCACTCCTCCATACACAGGACCTCTCTCTCTCCTGGCTGCCTCCCTGCCAGATGAAGTTGTTCAGACGTTGCCCCCGTCAGAAAACTGTACCAGTTGAGCCCCAAAGCTTCCTTCTCGGCCTCCAATATTGCCAACTTCAGAGAATCCCTCAGTCCGCAAGCCCAATTTCTGGCCCCACCCCTTCTACGGAGACCTGCCTGGAGAGCAGAGACCTCCCAGCTACCTAGTCCGAAGGGCCTTCTCTGGGCCTCTACAGATTCACACTGGCCTTGAAATGCTGCCTTTAATGGGTGGGCGTCCGCTACTCCTTGCTTCTCCCCGCTTCTCTCACTGCCCAACTCCCTTTCTGCCCCCATTGTCTTAGTAGCAGTTTTCATGGTTACATGTGTGGCTCTTTTATCTTACAGCAGGATGCACTTTCCCCAAACAGTGCCATCCTGACTCACGCCTTTGTTTAAGTTGCTTCTTCTGCTGCTGGGAAATGTCCTCCCTTACTCCCCTGGTCAGCTCCTCTTCCTCTGCCTGTGGTGTCAGCTCCCGAGTGTCTGCCTCCCACTTCACAGCCACTGCCGGTTGCACGCTCTCTCTTCCTTGCTCCCTTCGCATCTTGTGACCCTGTCCATTTCAACACCTGACACACTTGACCCCATCACTTCCCATTCTGCCCCACTGGGCTGGGATGGCTTGAGGGCAAGGATGGAGCCAGAGCTGCTGAAATGAGCCCAACAGTGTACGTAGTTCCGAGCCTATGAGAACTTGAGTATGTTTCCATCAGAATGTTTTTATTAAAACTGTATGCAGGTGTTTATTTTTGTTTATGTGGAAAAGGCAATATGTATTTACACGGCACAAAATTTCAAAGGTATGCGGGGAGAAGCCTGCCTCCCACCTCTGTCCCCCAGGTCCTGGAGTCCCCAGCGACACTGTCAGCCTTTTCCTTCCAGCCTTGCCCATGGTCCTGTGCGCACTCCTTTCGCAGGAGATCGCTCGTTCTTCTCGGGCTCCTGGCTCCTTTCTCGTGGCCGCCGGGCTTCCCCGCGCCGGGACTTCCTTAGAAGACAAAAGCAACGTGTCAACTTCTCTTCGGGAGTAACTAAACTGCCAACAATTTCCAACTCTGAAGGAAAAAATTAAGGTAGCAGTTAACAAACCAACCACAAATTAGTATCATCTGGAAGTTGTTAAAGCTACATTGGCCCCAGCACCAAACAATTAATTGGGTGTGTGTTGCTTTTTAAAGCTTCTCAGAACATTCAAATTAGCAGCCAACATC